TGCAGCAGGTTTTAGAAGTAGGAGGCCACACTGTCAGACTGGTGGCAATAGTGTTTGCCAAGCCCTGGCTGCTACGCTCAGTGTGCCTGAAGAAAGCAGAGGATGCTGAGCAGCCAGGGGCAGACCCTGCTCTCCCAGATGTGCCACAGGAACACCTGCCCTCGGAGCCAGGGAAGGGACAGGAATGTCTGGGAGAGGAGGAGCAGCTGGGCAAAGACACACAGTGTGCCAGTGATGACGAGCCCCCGAGGAAGAGATGTAAGACTGACGTCCTTCAGGGTGACAGTCACCTCTGCCAGGGTGCACAGCCTGCTCTGGCACATGCAGCTGGCTGCAGCTTGGATGCAGCTGCTTCTGAGCCTGTCCCAAGGAAGGAAGCTGTTACTGCAGGTGAAGAAGCTGCAGGAGGAGGCTCCCTAGAACCCCCAGCTGAACTCCCAGCTGAACCCCCAGCTGAACTCCCAGAGCCTGCTCCAGAGGCTGTGGATGTGGGCACTTACAAGGAACAAGATAAATCTTGTTCTGAGGACAAAGAACCTGAAGTAGAGACTGATGAGCTCAGCACTGAGCACAGCAAGCAGATCCCTATCCCTGAACAATCAGCCAGTGAGCAGGATGATCTTTCCTACTTCCAGGAGAACCCAGGAGTCTCTAAAGGTATGGAGAGCCCTCTGCATCCCTGAAATACAACCCAGCTCATCAGCAGTTGATCCCAAACCAGTAGCTCCATTTTATAAGCAAATCCTGGATTCTTTATGCAGCTGTACCAGAGAGATTGTCTTCTCTCACAGATAAATTGGCATAACACTAATTCATCTGGAAGATCTCCAAATTTTCAAATACCTCACATAATCCTTCCTGTTCCTTTTGCTGGAATGAGTAGTCCAGAAGTGTGTTTTCCTTAGAAACTTGTTTCTGTGTCTTAAATTTTTTTTTTTTAATAATTTGGATCCAAAGTTTCTCATCTCTGGCTTCAGTTCAAAGGTCAGGCGTCTCTAATCCCAGAAAACACAGCACTGCTGGTGTGCATTTAGCTGGAATGTCCATGGCTGGAAGTCCTAAACTCATTAAACCGTTCACCAGGAAGCAGCACATGCCAGTGAGATTTAACAGCCTCATTTGTAACCCAATTGGACTTCATTTTCCTTTCCTTTTTACTGCCAGTTTTCTAATAACTAGTAGTTCTTGCCAAGCTTTACATGTAGTAGTTTGTGGGGGATTTAATTTTGGTTTGGTTTTTATGAGCTCTAATCTCAGACTGAACCACAAGCTCACTGCTCCTGTGGTACCTTGCCAAGCCCTGCCAGTACCCAGGTCCAGAGGGTGATCCCTAACATCCCACAGCTTGGGATTGTTTAACTGGAGCCTTCCTGCAGGAAATGCACTCAGGGCTGTCTAAACAGAAGAGACCTCAGCAGTTCTTAAATTAAACTTCTGAAGTACTTCCCTGGATTTAACATCCTTCACTTGTTTGTAGCATAGGAGGGAAAAAACAGGAGTTCTGTTATCAAACACAGAGTTCTCACTGGCCAGTGAATGTTTACATGTGCTTAGGCCAAAGCTGTTACCCTCTGGGTGTGGTAGGAATACCTTGTTAAGTAATTGTCTAATTAAAACCCATGACATCATGTAATGGGAGTTGCAGAGACAGCCTTTGCTTTGAAACTGAGTCCTGCTGGAATCCTGAGTTTGCACTCACGTCTCCAGCTCCTTGGAGCTCTGCCCTACATCCCTCTGATTTCCAGGAGCTTTAGGTTACTCAGACCCTGGGAGAGCTCCAGGCTGAGACCCTGTACAGCTCTCTGTGAACCTCAGTTCTTTCAGCCCATACAATCACCACGGTTCAGCCATAGCATCAGACTTCTAGGATTAAAACCTGCTGGGTTTTATCATAAAACCTGCTAGGACTGGGGAAAAGAGCCACAAAAAGTGGGGTTGAGTAAAGAGATGTAGTTGTGGGAGGAGTGTGCTGCAGGCAGGGCAGAGGGTCAGCTCAGAGCTCCCCAAAACTGAGAGCAGCACGTGGAGTAGTTTGCTGCTGTGGTTTCCTGGCAAGCTCTTGCACTTCACGGCTTGGCCACCTTTAACTCTCCTTCCATTAGATAAGGAATTTGAGTTAATTAGAAAATATGTGTACTTTTCTTTCCAGGAATCTCCATGACAGATGTCTCCCAGGCAGCCAGAGACCGGTGAGTAACAGAAACGTCTGCAGAATACCAAACACTTGCCACTGCCAAAAGAGTACTGGAAGCAGTGGTTTGGAAACCTGTTTTATGCTCTGATGAGCAGTGATGGAGAAACCCCATTCCATTGTTCCTGTTAATGTTCCTTGTGCTCCTGTGCATGCTGAAAAAATGTCTCTGATAGATATTTTTACCCAAAAACCAACAAGCTCCAAATACCAGAGGACCAAAACTGATTTTACTGCACAAATAAGCCCAGTGCCAGCTTCCAGGTGCCCAGGAACTGCAGTATGAGAAATGGGAATTTCCATGCAGGGACTGTCTTTTGGACATCAAAATGCTAAAAATGAGGAATTTGCTTCCCATCAAAGCACTGTTGCTACGTGGTGCAGGTCTTGGATAACTTTTGGAGGATATTAGAGCTAATGTGAAACACAGCTTCCCTGTTCATCAAGGGAACATCGAGGTACAGCCAGGCTGTGGGTACAGCCAGGGCAGCTGCTGGGTTTGTAATGGAGCTAAAAGGGGTGAAAAATGCAGATTTGGTAGAGCAGCACCAGCCCTTGCTCAGAGCAGCCACAGGATTTACACTTGTGTTAAAATGGATGCAGTAAGAACCTCTATTAGGCAGTGTCGCTATAGGACACGTGAAAGCACAACGCCAGCCACTGCTATTTGCAAGGTAAAGAAGAAGAAGGTTTATTCTCTGACTCCAACTTTTATACTTTTCCAAAGATGACAGTGGATTGGAGAGTGAATGGGCCACCTCTCCAAAGACATTGGACAAACTACTAGTACATCGAGTTTCTCCACCCCTATGAAGGAATGCAAAACAATATTTTGTTTATAGAAAATTGTGTGAGAAAGTTTTCTAACAGAATGTAAACTCAGAAGGCTTTAGAAAATCTCAAAAATCAGGGCAACAAGGCATAAATTGAAATTATGAGAAACCTGTCCTGAAGAATTCCTGACAGCGGAGTTTGCCTGTCTTTGGCAGGGCCTGTGAGAACGTTTCCTTCATCGGGAGGCCGTGGAGGATCGTGGATGGGAAGCTGAACCAGCCGGTGTGCAAGGGGATGATGGAGGCCGTGCTCTACCACGTCATGAGCAAGCCAGGCGTGCCGCAGTCGGGGCTGCTGCAGCACTACAGCGGCGTCCTGCAGCCCGTGGCCGTGCTGGAGATCCTGCAGGTACAGCCAGGGAAACAGGAAAGCAGCTGCTCCCTTCAGTGCAGTGCAGCACAGCACGAGGGAGGGAGCAGGGAGCTGCTTTACCCTCCTGATGGCAGAGCTTGCTTCTGAATGGATGTGCAGGGAGGTGGAAGGCCGGGGACTTGCTGAAGAGTGAGGGCTTGTCACCATGAAATTGAGTGATTAATGCAGTGGTAATCACAGGATCATGGAATAGTCTGGGTTGGAAGGGATGTTGGGACCTGTAAGGTCCATTCCAACCCCGTAACATTCTGTGATTCTGTGAAGAATGCCAAGCAAAGAGGAAACCCAGGGACAGGTGTTGATCCAAAGATCAATACCACCTTAAAGATCAGCCACCTTAAAGATCCTCTGGTTCCAGTCCCCAGTCACCACAGATAATCCAAATAGTCTTAATTTTTTTGCTTATATCCCTTCTAGATGGGTAATCTGCCATGAGAATCAAACTGAAATGTGTCTGTGCTAGACATTGTGTCAATCAGACCTTCTCACCAGCCTACAGGTCCTTAATTGTCAAACAAAAGATGGCAAGAAAATTTTGAATTTCTCATAGTTTTTCTCCCACATTTTGACATTCAGTTGCCACCGCTTTGGAAATGGAACTTTAAATATTTATAGGAAAAGAACAGAAATCAGAATCTGAATCAGAGCAGTAATCCTGCAGGCCTTCCCAAAAGCATGACTTCCCTGCTAATTGGAAATCCATTTTCCAGTGTCCATGTGCCACTTCTTCCCCAGGGCTTGTACCCTGTGGTGACAGTGCCAGCTGGGAGTGTTGCCAGTCGTGCATATCCTGTTCTGGATGTTCCAGGATGGATCCCTGGGCCATGTGAATTCAAACCCACAAAATCAAGCAATTAACTACCTCTATATTTTACAGAGTGGAGAACTTCACTCTAACTTCAGCACCAATAAATTCACTAAGAACTGGTTTGGAAACCACAGACAGAGCTTGTCATACACCTATTAACCATTAACAAGGATTGGCACAGAAGTCTGGGATTGACATCCAGAGGCGCCTTAGATTTTTTTGTAACTGGTCCTAAATGTTGACATTGCTTGCTGAGCACCTTCTGTGTCAGTAACTGTGTATCAATCACTGTGCTTGAAAGCAACTAGATCTATCCAGCTATAGCCAGAGCTTGCATGGTTTTATTGAGCTGTTTATCCTTCTTACCTTTTTGTTGTAACCATGGGTTCCTCAGGGGCCCAAGTGAAGCCACTTTTGGCACAAATTGTCCAATATTTCTGAGAACACTGTAGCTAGAGCAGCATTCACAGCGTATTAAAATATATGAATTTTTTTGCAGGGTCTGGAAACTCTTGGTTGCATCAGACGATTCTACATGAAAAAGCCATCCCCTGTATCACTCTTTTCTCAGCCATTTGTGGAAGAACAATTACAGAATCCCAAAATGAGTGAAAGTCCAACCATCTACTACGAGCCCACGATAGACTGTACTCTCAGGCTGGGGAGAGTGTTCCCCTGTGACATGAATTGGAATAAATGGGTGCAGATTATCCCTGGATAGAAAGGGTAAAACTGAGTTATGGGAAATTGGCTTAGCCTGTGGGAGGGAGTGTCCATGGAGATTAAATGTTACAATTTGTGCTCCATCATGTTTTTATTAAGTTATTTATCGTTTTTACTTCTGAATATATTTAAACTGAGAATAAAGCTTGATGTTAAAACACAAGTAATACGTGATCCTACTTGAAGCACATTCTCTTTTTATCAGTAACTGGTTGAAGTGTGTAGTTTGTAGTTGCTGCTTTAACTGAGAGGATTTTCACAGGCCAAAGCAAAGGCCCCTTCTCCCCTTCTTTCATTTTTTGTTCTCTGTAAGGGCACAGTGGTTACACTTCCCCTCTGCTTTGCCTGCTGTGCCGTGCTCGGGGCTGCGGTGTGGGGGGTTTCCTCACCGTGCTTCAGCTCGGCTACCTTCAGACCTGTCTGTTCAAACACGGGTCTCTCGGTGTGACTGTATCACCCTGCCCTGTGTGCATTACGGGCACAGCACCGTGCTGGAGCCTGTCTGCCCTCCCTGCCCGGCCCAAAACAACCACGCAGCAGCCGCTCGCTCGCCCTCAGCGCCGCGTTTATTGCAGGAGCAGCAGCAATTCTGATCCCCGCTCCCCCGGGCCTCAGTCCCGCCAGCGGTGCCCGCACTGCGGGTTGCAGCACTTGTAGAAGGTGGTCATGGGCTCGTCGGCCGAGCGCGTCTGGATCTGCATGAAGTAGGCGCGGGGGTGCTCGCACTTGGGGCACGGCTCTGCGGGAAAGCGCCGTGAGGGGCCGTGAGGGGCGGCCGGGCCGAGCCCGCCCCGCGCCGCCCCTCGGCCCGGCCCTACCTGCCGTGGAGTCCACGTTCTCCCAGGCCGCGGCGCCGCCCAGCACATCGTCCACCTCCTTCAGCCGCGGGTACTTCCTGCTGGTCACCTGCGGGACGGGCACGGGAGCGGCTCAGCACCGAGCACCGAGCCCCGGGCACCGGGCCCCGGGCACGGCGGGCCCCCCGCCCCGGGCCGCCCCCGCCCCGGTACCTTCCGCGTCACGTTGCGCACGTAGGGACAGGTGGTGCAGGCGAAGCGGTGGCAGCGCGGCCCCTCCTCGGCCACCAGCACGTTCCCGCAGGCCGGGCAGAAGAGCAGCATCGCCGGTTCCGCCGCGCCGCCCGCCCCTTCCGGCGATGGCGGCCGCGGAGCCGGCGGAGGAGCCGGCGGAGGAGCTGGCGCACGCCGAGGTGCTGGAGCTGTTCCAGGCGGCGCTGGCGCGGCTGGTGCAGGACCCGCTGCTCTGCGACCTCCCCCCGCAGGTGGGCCCGGGGCGCGGGGCCGGGCCGGGCCGGGCCGGGCCGGGCTGGGCTGGGCTCACGGCCTCGTCCCTCGCCCACAGGTGACGGCGGAGGAGATCGGCTCGCAGGTGGCCCTGGAGTACGGGCAGGCCATGACGGTGCGGGTGTGCAAGGCGGACGGCGAGACCGTGCGTGCGTGCGGGGCCGGGCGGGCCGGGCGGGGCCGGGCGGGGCCGGGCGGGGCCGGGCGGGGCGTGTGGGGCCGGGCGGGCCGGGCGGGGCCGGGCGGGGCCGGGCGGGGCCGGGGGGGGCGGGCGGGGCCGGGCGGGCGCGCCTGACGCGGCTCTCCCCGCCCGCAGCCGTGGTGGTGGTGCAGAACGCCTCGGTGCTGGAGCTGAAGAAGGCGCTGCGGCGGCACATCCAGCTGAGGCAGGCCCGGCAGGGCGGTGTGCAGCACCTCAGCTGGTGAGCGGGGCCGGGCGGGCGGCTCGGCAGCGCGTCCCAGCCCGGTGCCGCTCCCGCGGCTGCCCCTGAGCGTTTTTCCCGCAGGAGGTACATATGGAGGACGTACCACCTCACGTACAATGGAGAGAAGCTGGCGGATGACAGGAAGAAGCTGAGAGAGTGAGTTACGAGTCAGCGCCGGGGGGGAGAGGGGCCCACGCAGCATCCCCACGGGCAGGGCTGAGCTGGGAGGTTGTGCCCTGGATCACGGGTCCTGTAGTGGACATTGCCAGGAAAGGTGGGACAGCACTGAGCACAGAAGTGGGACAGGCAGACTGAGAGGCTCTCACAGGACAGGCCTTGGGGGGTTCCTCATCCTCAGCCAGCACCATCCTGTGCTGGGTTCAGCCAGTGCAGGGCACCCCACAGAACCCTTGGCCATACCTCCCAAACTCCTGCAGATGGTTACAGTTACTCAGCTCGGCACAGATACTGATGTAGGATACAGAAGAGCAGGGAACAGGAACAGGCAGGCTTTGAGGAACCTAGCCTAGTAAAAGGTATCCTGTCCATGGCAGGGGTGTTGACACTGGATGTTCTGTAAGATCCATTCCAACCCTGTAACATTCTGTGATTCTATGAAGAATGCCAAGCAAAGAGGAAACCCAAGGATGGGTGTTGATCTTTGGGGCTGATCAGCCCCCTCTCAGTCTAGTAACAACACTGACAGGTGACTCCCATGTTTCCCTGCCCATTCTTTAGGCGAGGTGGGATGAGGCACTTCTCTGCAGTGCTGGGTCTGCCAGCCTGTTGCAGACCAGAGAGAAAAGGTGGCCTGAAGTACTAAAACTTCAGCAAGACAACCCTAATCAAAGCTATCCTTGGAATAGTGAGCCTGGGTGACAGATGTTGCATTTTGGGGGTTGCTGCAGGTAAAGGCAGATGAGCAGATCCTTCAGTGCTGGCAGCACATCCCACATGCACAAGTGAGAATTTTAATGTGTTCTCTAGTAGAGCACAGCATGGGATTATTGTAGGAGACCCTCTGCCCCTGGGAAAGATGAAGCTATAGGGTTTTACAGGCTGTTTTTCCTGGGAAGGTGGCATTAACAGCATAACTCTGTGTTCAGGTATGGCATCAGGAACCGGGATGAGGTCAGCTTCATAAAGAAGCTTCGGAAGTAACCTGTGGGGTGAGTCCCAAATGTCCATTAAGAGCTCCCAGTTCCTCATCTTCCCCAGGCCATGGTGTTGAGGCTCAGAGCTGATGCTGCTGCTCTCTGCTGGCTGGCAGAGTATTTCTGAATGCCTGCACGGGCCTGGTAGTGTTGTTTGTGCTATTCTCAGGGCAGGGAATGATAATTCAGCTATTTCAGGTAACATAAACTGGGAGCAGCAGCAGGAATAGCTGACTTTATGTTTAGACTCTCAATCTGCTTCTACATTGTCTTGAAACTTAAGAAACACAGTGTTCTTTTACTGCTGTGATTGCTTCTAGGACCTTGCTTTCTTTTAGGCTTTTTATATGTCTGGAAAACATTGTCAGGAGCATGGCTGGGTTTCTAACTCATACAGACATCATTTTGGTATTAATACTGCTATTTTGAGAAAGCTGTGCACACAAAAACAAGATGTGGCCAAGACTCTCAGGCTTACTAAGTTTTAAATTATGCTTTTGGAAACAGTCACAGTGGCTGAAGAACGAGTAAGAGCAGCTTGTCCAAAGCCTTGTGTTGTTTTGCTGCTCCAGGTAGCTGGGTTAAAAACTGTTCCTTTCTGACCACAGTTACCTTTTATTCTTCTTTCAACACTGCCATATTTTCAAGATCCAGTGTAATAAAATGTGTGCCCTAACAACAGCCACCTGCTCCAGGGTGCTTGTGTCCAGCAGTCACCTCTGGCACTGGCTGGTCTCTCCTGGACCATCATGGCAGTGTGGTGAGAAAAGCTCAGCATGCAGTAATTATTGTCACTGACAAATATTTTCTTTCTTAAACAGAGAGAGCAGAGAATCCAGCCCTACCATGACCAGACTGTGGATTCAACACCTTCCTGGAGGAAAAGGCTGTCACACTTCAAAGAGGAACAAACTCCATTGACTGGACATTCTCACGTTTTTTACAGTTGCTGTTTGTGGTGTTTGCCTCTGAGGTGTATGTGGATTGCAGGGATTAAAAAGATCCTCTAGTTTTCTGAGGCTTTTCAGGCCCTTACTTCCAGCTGCAGATGTGTATCTGGCTGGTTTGGGTGCTCCACAGGGTACATAAAACAGCAGGAGTGAGATTAAGTAACAAAGGTAGGCACAGACTACTCAGAACAATTCACAGTAGCTAAAACGCTACCTCACTGTTTAATCACCACCTTAGCAGTAGTAAACAACTCTGGTTAAAAATGTAGTATTGAAACTAGTGTAATAAAAATAATGGCAGCAGAAAAGGTTCAATACAATTGAACAAGGCACAAACGTTCTGTTTTTCAGAGTCTTCTGAGATAAGGCAAACCATGCCTGCCAAGTGCTAAGGAGACAGTTTAAATTAACCACGGGCAGGGTTAGAAGTGTCATTGGATTAGAGGCTTTGTCCCCATGGAATTGGCACAGCAGATGCAAAGACAGTCCATCTCCAGGGCCTGCTCGAGAAGCCAGTCTTTGCTGTCAGTGGAGCTGTGCATCCAGGTCGTATTTCTCGCAGAATTTGTCTGTGAAGGGTATACAAGTGAGGAACTCGCACCACTCACACTTGATGGGGTAGAAATAGAACAGAATCACCAGTCCTGAGAAGAGTGCGATGAAGATGAGCTGGAAAACTATAATTTGGCATCGTTTCCTATATAAATCAAACTTCCCAAAGCTAATGTAGGGCAGGAAGGCAAAGGAGAGGAAGAAACCACTGATAAATCCTGAAATGTGAGCGAAATTATCAATCCAAGGCAGGAGGCCAAAGGCAAAAAGAAAGAGCACCACAGCCAGCAGCTTGAAGAAAGCCCTCCATGGGCGTGCCAGGATTTGCCAACTCTGGAAGAGCTCCACAAAGAGACAGGCCAGAATTCCAAACTGGGATCCTGCAGGGCCAACCTGCAGAAGAAGAGCATTACAGATAATGTCAGGCTCATGCCACGTTCCTGGCCTCTGCAGCCAGCTCAAGGAATTAGTTACTTCTCACTCAAATCCTGTTCAGTGGTTCTTGGCAAAGAGACTCTGCAACTTCATCCATATAATGGGGTGCCAGGAGTAAAGGGATCAAGGTGTGGATTTAGGATCAAGGTGTGAGGCCAGAACAGACTAAGGAGGGCAGATCTGGTTCAAGCTGCCAGAGGGGAGAAGCCCTTGAGGGCACTCTGCTGGCTTGCCCCACCCACCCTGTAGTTTTCCTTAGGTAAGGAGCTGGAAGGCTCCTGCAGGTCCAGCCATGCAGTCTCCTGTGGGCACAGTGAGCTCTGCTCTTTGCCACTCTCAGGTGGACGCTGCTGACACCACACTTGATTCCAAGCCTCCCTGGGGCCTCTCACCCCGAGGCTGGACAGTCCCCCATCTGTTTGAGAAGCAGCCTTTTTCCTGCAGCCAGCCAGGCCAGCCACTTGGAAAGCTCCTGGTAGCCCGGGATGTTGCTGCTCAGCAGTTGAATGATGGTGTGCTGCCATCTTTGAGCTGCAAGTGCCAAGGCTGCAGTGGTGAGCCCAGCTCTGCTCGCTCTGCCTCAGCCACAGAGGCACAGGCATGTAGAGAAGGGTTGTGCTCAGGGCAGGTTACCAGGACCCTGGGCTGCAGGAGACCCACCTCTGCTCTGTAGGGTAGAAATATTGCACTGGCGAGGTTCCCAGTGATGCCACTGAGAAGGTAGATGATAGAGATGCGGTGCCATCCTGCCAGCTTCTCTAGGTCCCGCAGGATCGTCATTTGGAAACAGACTGAAACCAGACAGTGCAGGATCCTGCCAAGGGCAGAGTACAGGAGCTGAAGCAGCAGCCACTGAAGTCACCCCTGTGCTCATATTCTGTCCACAGCCTTGCTCAGAGTTCCTGTTCTGGCCTTACCCATTCTGCTAATCCCTCCCAACAAACACAGGATGGCAAACCTTGGCAGAGAGCACAGCTCAGATCCCTGTGTCCCCACGAGGGACAGCCACAACCCTCACAGCAGTCCCTGGGCTGAGGGTGCCCCCACCCCAACAGGGGAAGTTTTACACCTCTGCTTACCCAGCGTGGAGGAAAAGAGAGAGCCAGAGGCGGTAGAACTGGTCAGGGACTTCTGGATTTAGGAAAGGAAGGAGCCCACAGACAT